CCGGACAGGTCACAATTGCATGCTTTACATTCTGGGAAATTATAGAATCCATGTGTACAATGATCGCATTTCAAGCCAACGTACTCTGTGTGACATTTACACTGAAACACGACGATGCGATAACTATTCGAACTTACTAAAAATTCCTCTCAGAAGTCCAAAAAACAATTCGGCAGATCACTTGATGGGTAATTGAATCTCAGAAAATCACCATCAAATGTTTGTGAATATGGTTAGCTGTTTCTTGGCAGTGTAACAGTGAAACTGTTTGATCAATAATTTAACTTCCAATATAACCCAATAAGGTAAATCAATCAAACCTGTCCATTCAGTGGGTTACAATCAGATCCATCAGCTCCAACTTCAGAGCAATCGCACAATGTGCACCCCTTCAGTGGATGATAGTTCCATGCATTCTTGGTACAATTCTCACACATTTCACCGACCGTATTCGGTGGACATACACAATCGCCAGTAACTGGATCACAAACTTGACCTGGTGCCGGACAAATTTGACACTCTGAAACGATCACAATTACTTTCCAATCAAATCAGCTGGTCGTGGGCGTAAAAAGCAAAAAATTTGAATAGAAAATAGCTTCACGGTAAATGTTCAGAAATTTGATTTGATAGCGATTCCGTGGCAGTTATAATTATGCAGTCGGGTTCAATGGCAATAGAATAAAGCCAAAAAAAAGACCTTTACAACCAGTTTCATCAAGACCGTAATGATTCGGTGCACACTGATCACATTTCAGACCTGTGACACCTGGCTTGCACGCACATTGTCCGGAATGCATATCGCACAGTACGCCATCTGAGCCTTGTGGATCACATCCACACGCCTATAAAATCGATCAATTTTGAAAGTAGAGAACCAACTTCCGAGGTGATAAAAACCTCAACTATTCGATTTCTTACTGATGCGAAGACATATGGTCATTTTCTCACAAGCTAAATAATTCCGTACATGACGGATAGAATATTCACACTAACCTGACATCCACTCCCAGATGTGATATTGAAGAAGCCATCTACGCATTTTTCGCACATGTTCCCATCAACATTAATACGACATTCACATTTACCAGTTACATTGTCGCATCGACCGTCATCAATCGAACCGTAAATATTACACTGACAAAACTGACATCCGGTATCAGTGAAGTTGAAATAACTTGCACGACACATGTCACACTGCTTACCGAATACACCCATTTTGCATTGACACTGAAAAAAAATCACTTAGGTAAGCTCATATAAGCATTCAAACCGTATGTTGAACAAAATTCTGATGAGTGAGATTGATATCTGTAAGAATCAGGAACAAAAATTTAAATAGAAGTAGAAAAATTGTTCACCTGTCCGGATACTTGATCGCACTCTACACCAATCGAGCCAGTTGAGTTACAGTTGCACTCTGGACAGTAGTTTTCAATATCTCCATGACCAGCCTACAGAATGTTTTGATGAAAAAAATAAATATTTTGACGGGACAAAGACGAAGGATGTTGCTTTAAATTTTTCTGGTATCCAAAAGTAAGCATCAAAACGAACCTTGCACTTATCGCACTGCATACCCTCGTAGTTTTCAAGACATTCGCATTCACCCGTCAAAGTATCGCAATTAGCAGATAGTGCACCTTGAAATTTGAATCAGTGTATTCACAAGCAAAAATTCTCACTCGCTGTCTGCGAAACAAAAGCTCGAGAATGAGCAAATTGGAAATTAATTGAAATATGTATATGCATATCCCACTGATCACTGGTGATCGTTGTGAATCACCATTCCTAGAAGACAATTTTGTCGTTCTGCAAGACAGTGAACTGTAACCAGAAAGACTCAAAGTTGGCAATCGAAGATGAAATGAATGAATCGGATGAATAAGTTAGATTATCAAAGACCGATTCGGAAATAACCACCTTTCGGGTGACAACCACACGAGGTACATGATTTATCCTTCGCACTGCCCCAGTGATTCTCTTTACAAACTTCACAGTGATCTCCTTCCGTATTATAAATGCATTTCAAGCATTTTCCTGTTGATCGATTGCAGTTACCGATTGCCATCGGGTCGATGTTACCGTTACATTCGCATGCTTTACATTCACCATCCTTACTCAGCGGATCTCCATAAAAACCATCTGCGCATCTGAAAAACAAGAAGCGAACTGAAATTTCTGGCATGTCTCATCATTATTGAATCATTTGATATTGCGACAACATTGTTCTTCAGTTTCAGTGTAATTCACAATTGATTTCCCGTTCTTGTGAATTGATATTCTTTTCAAATGCAAATTGCTACTTTTGGTTTCTCTGAACTTCAGCTGTTGTCATTCATAAACATTATGCAATTTGTTTCATCTGATTTTAGGAGGGCAGAATGTGCACATGCGAACAATAATTTCAACATCATCGCAACATATCGAATACATTTGAGAATTCCGTCATTCTATAACTCAAAAATAAGAAACTTTTTGAGAATGGTATAATGAATAAGATACATTTCACATTTATTTCCATCGTAACCAGTTTCGCAAGCCGTACAAACGTATGCATCTTCGCCCGATGCTGCAGCACCTCCAACAACCAACTGAGTTAACGTACATTCAGGTGAATGATTGTTTTCGATTGTTGGACATGCACATGGACGACATTCTCCACGCTCACCACCCAACGATGGATTGCCGTAATGACCAGGCAAGCATCGTTCACATCGAGGTCCGGTTGTATTATGCTGCAATATTTAGTTGTTCTGTGATCACGACAACTTAAGATTCAAGAAAAAACTCAAGAATGAATTTCTGCTGAGAGATATTAATGAAATTTGAGTCGTATTTCTGCTTAGAAATGCATTTCAGAAAATAATTTTGCACGATATGCTACCGGTTACACTGTTTCTCTCACGAAATTTCCACATCATTGCTACAAATCTATCTCATTGAAGTTCTCATATTATTTTTGAAAATTCACTGTGGACTTCGTTACTTGGTTGCATGTTCTTACAAGGACTTTATGCTTTTCCCACTAAGATCAAAATTCGAACACATTTCATCAATACTTTTTCACCTTTAGCCGATCAAAATTCCAACTGACTGTGAAACCGATTCAGGGAAAGCAAATATGACTTCTGGGAAAAAATCCCAAAGTTGCTCAGAATCGAATGAAAGTGAGACTACCTTGCAGTTTGTGCAATGTCCTGTGAATGGATCACATTCATCCGAATGTCCTTGACATATACATTTCTCACATCGTCCACCATACAGCTGATTATTCACTCGTCGATATCCGGGTTTACATTTCTGCAATTCACTCATTTCTGTTCGTCAATCCATTAAAAAAATGCCAGCATCACAGACATTCGTCACAGATAACAGTTCGAATTCAGAGTACTTGGCAACATTTTGACCATAAAGCTTGAATATTGCATAATCGTGAATCTCGAATAAATCATCAAATGATGAGGCATGAATTGGCTCGACACGATCTTTCAGTTACTACGACTACTATGCAATGGTATCCAAAATGCAGAGGGATGAAGTATAAAATAGCAAGTTTTTTTGGGGCGCATTTAGATTCTTGATGTTGCATGATACAGCAATTCCTGTAAATGTGCATGACACACATTTCTGGGAATATATTTCGATCATTTGACCAACGCGATTAATCCGAAGATAATTTATTGCACAACTAACCTCACAGCTATTACCAGCGAAATTTTCAGGACATTGACACACTTCAACACTTCGCATCAGATTGTTGCTTAAGGATGGTGCTGTTGACTTGAGCACATCTTCTTCGTTCACATCACTCGTTATGGTTGGTTCAACGGCTGTATCCAAAGCTAGGCCATAAATGCTGAAATTTGAAAATCACAGTGATAACAGGCGATGTAAATCTGGGAATCGTGATGCCCACAAAATATCAGTGCCCTTATCATGCAAACATGATGAGATGAGATCGGATACTGCAACATTCACCGTAGCAGGCCATGTTCCAATTCCGCATCATTCTCTCCGTGTAAAATTTACTTCATCAATTTTGACGATTTCAGTGATTCCAAAAAATGTGATCGGTTCCAAGAGGTTGTCATAAATGCTATTTATTCTATTGCATTATTCTCACATCTCTGATGACTTTTTTATTTCTATCTCATTTCAAAAATCGCCTCTGCTAACAAATTTTCGCAAGTACTTTTTGCTGAACTCCGCTCAACTTCTTGCTAAACATTTCATTAACGCCACTTTAGATTCAGAAACAAATGATTCAGCGAATCAATGTGAATTCTAGAATAAGAAGTTTTCAATCAGAAATAACATCAAATATCTGAATTGAACGACACCATAATGAAGCGTTCGAAGGAATACGCAAACGAAAGCCATATTATCCAAAAATATTGGGAAATTCTCCCACCACAGTTACAATTTTCGATGGAATTACATTCTCACAATTTCTCACCCACTCACAATTGCTATTGTTGCAGTTCAATTTGTATGAACGCACCAATGATTAAACAAACATTTTCAGAAGCATTATCAAAGACTAACAATTAATTCAACTTTCATGCTACTTATCGATATTTCTTAATATCGAGAAAAATATTTTAACCAGTTTCATCGATGACAAATCCTTTCCCTCCTACCATTGCTGAGCTCAAAACGATAGAGAATTCCGAATGATTTCTAATCACCTCATAAGAATGACTTGACGGTTATCTAGCGCGAGCAGCCTAGTTAATTTTTTTTTGAAAATGATTCTATGAGGTTGTTTGTTGCAAGAATAAACATTCAGAAATGTGAACAATTCAACTGCTGTCACATTTCAACTCTGACACGAAATTCTATGCAAACAAATGTACTAAATTGTAAACATCACTGTGAGAATGCGCACACAATGGACTGATGTAAAACGGAGGATTCGTATTTGCAGGGTGAAACATTCTCATTGATTCAATAACTGTATGAGAAATTTGATAGTCCTGTGATCATAAATAAAACAATCGTACCTTTGGCTTGCATCAAGAGAAAAATAATTCGAGACTTCTACTAAACTCGAATTATTTTCTCATATGATTACAGTTCAAATTCATGATTTCGAAAACGATCCAATTTTTTTTAGCAAAGTTATCCAAACTGGACGAAATATTTAAAAGACGTCCGGAAGACAAGTAGGTTAANATGCATTACATTTGTTCCAATGATCGGAATACTAATTTCACCTTTTGTTCTATCAGCTTTTGCGATGGGCAGAAGAAGAAATGGTAATTTTGATTGCTCAAAAGCCGCTGTTATTCAATTGAGTTGCAACTACAATATACGTGTATTGATGGTTACTTAACATTTGGAAGTGTTCTTCGAATGAATGTATCTTTTGTTATGCAGCATTATCGTACATGAATGCGAGTGAAACGCAAGTTGTATCTATGAAACACGCAATATGCCTTGAATATCTTCGTATAATTTGTATTATAATGATTCGTTTTGTCCATTCGAATTATTTTGTTCATATCGTTACGGAGACTTTCAATTAATTACGCTAATAGCAGAGATCAAATTAAAAGTGAATTTGTTGATTTGATTAGATAAAATGTGTCGCATTTGTCGCCATAATATTCAATTAACCTACTGGCATTATTTGTGAACTATTGTTATTATTGAACTAAACCAGCAAGAAACAAGCTGAAAATTGACTCCTTAATCATCAGTTCTGATATGAATCAGTGACTGATACTCAGCTGGTGTTTATTATTCTTTTTATTTTAATTTATTATTATTTTTTACAATTTATTATTGCTTGTACATGTTTTTTACTCGGCAATAAACTATCAGATCGTATCAAACAAGAGCACTGAAGTATTAAGCGATGTCGATCTATTGATCACATAGGACTGCAATATTTAAACGCGATCGCAGCCAGTTTTTTCATCGAAATGGAATGATATGAGGAACAGAATTTTAAGTAACTTGAGCTGTGTTCAACTAATTGAAGTGCGACACGTTATCGTGAAAGTACTCCTATAGGTGGTCTCAATTTCTCAGAAATATTAGCATTCAAATTTCAGTAGTGAATATTAATAAATTATCGGATAAATTTCGCGCAGGTTCAATGAGACTTGACATAAATCCGTTGCTCTTTCATACATATTTGTCAATCGATCCAACAACTTTGATGTGAAAGTAACCCTCAAAGCACAGTCAAGCGAGTTCTCGGGGCAAAATCATCAAATAAAATTGAAATACTGTTTCCATTCGACGTTTCGTAAAAAAATACAAAATTTTACAAGATAACTGGAATTTCGCATGAATAAATGGATGGAAAAAATTGCTAGAAAATAGAACTACAAAAAGTTTTGGGCAAAAACTATTCATTTGTGACAAACACTGGTTATGAGTTGTACTATGGTCGTTATGAATTTATCATTACTCAGTTGAATATGTTAAAACTGAATGAAAATGTCGCATAAGTCCGAATTTGTGTATGACAAAAAACTTCGTCTTGAAAATTCCAAAATATTTAACTTAGCAGTGGCAAACCATTTCAACTTATGTCACACATATTTTTGTCGACAAGATGAACTGAATGTTCTTATAATGTGTACTCAAGCAAACCGAAAAAGTATATCCTCAACGTAATCCGAGGTTGAAACTGGATATGGACGACTGATGGAAAACAAATGAACTCAATTCAAAGGAATGAAAACGCAACAGAAAATCGGAAAGACTTTTGGGGTTGAAACTGAATATGGCGCCTCAAGAAATCGAGTGTTGAGTGCTTATTGAGATGTCATGAAGAAAAACATCGAATTGATTACGGATAACTGACAAATGAGGTAAAGTGGATTATTATGACTCCGATAACTTAATTAATGCTTAGAAATTGCAACGATTCATTGGAGAAAAAGACTGATCAAAAGAATTCCTGCTGAAATCACAACGACAAAAAAATAGTAGATGCTATACTGCCGGATGGCAATGATGAAATGTTGACGAAACTGTGAACGGACTGTATTTGAATACTGCAGAATAGCATTAAAATGATACCTAATTATTGAGTGGCTCATAGAGTGCAAAATATCGAATACTTTCGTATTCAGCAATAGCCTTTTCCTTCACTTTCCTACTCATTGAAAAAAGACTAAACCTTCTCATATCTTCAATCATATTTCCGATTAGGAATTATTGATATTTCTCTTCAGAAAATAAAATTCGTTCTTCAGAAAAAAATAGAAAAAATTATCCATTCCTCTTCAGAAAATAAAATTCGCGCATAAAACTGAACAAAGTTGTGAAGGCTAAATAATGATTGACGTTGTGAAAATGCGCCATTGAGAGTTCTACAATATATCAGAATTTAATTTAATAGTGTATTCGGCAATTTCACTTTCGGATCTTCTTTCATGCCATTTTTGGACCGATAATTCCTTGGTTCAGATCTTTTGAGATGTCAAAAGTTCATTTTAATTTTATGGACCCTTCTTCAGTATTATTTGCCATCGCTGTTGGCCTTCTCAAGTGTCATCAAACTCATTGAAATTAACGAACGATAATCTCATAGCTGAACATTTCCCAACTTACGACATACAAAATTGCATGTGGGCGGTACTTCTATCACATAACAGTTAAACTACATTCGAGAAACCAATTTCATCATGAAGATATTGCCTTATCGAAGTGCATATTCTTACGTATATCATATACGTAAAAATACTTCTATGAATGAATGTGTGCGGAAA